ATTTAAGATCAAACAATTAATTTGAATATAAAATAACAACTGTTTGTTTATATTTTTAAGATTTCACTTCTGTCGGCAGTCCTCGTGACTGCTTTTTTGTTTAAATTGCTGTAAAACTATAATTTATAAGTATATAGATATGTTATAAACAAGTAGCCTAGTGGTAACGCGCTCGCTTGGAGACTTGAGTGACGCGGATTCAAATCCCGGGTCTCGGATTTATGATATTCTCATGTGCGAATCATTTCCAACATGATAACCCACTTGTCTCACGGTGATAAAAAACATCGTGAGAATACCATGCATGTCTGAGAGAACCTGGCAAGTTGTCGAAACTCGAAAGACTTGCTCAGTCCGCCCGAACTTCGTCAGCGTGGTGGACTATATGGTATCACCCTTGTATCGATGGCAGACCCACGCCCAGCTGTGAGACGTTTAAAATGGCTGAAGACTCATGTTATAGTCAAAAAGTTAAAAGAGGAAAAATAAAACAATTTATATATAATTAAATAAATATTTATTTAAATTGAGCACCGAATTATAATTAACTTATATTTATAATACAATCTATATCTAAGTATTATGGATCTTTCGTTAGCGCCTGCACTATACAGCGAAGTCGTGCTAAACTGTTCAACCCGCTCGAACTTGACTCTCCTAGAAAAAAAAATCTTTACATATAAATCCAATTATATAATATAATATTATAAATATGTAAGTTTGTGAGTATGGATGTTTGTTACTCTTTCACGCCAGAACGGCTGAACGGATTTGGATGAAATTTGGCACGGCGATAGATAATAATCTAGAATAGCACAAAGGCTACATTTTATACCGTTTAATATTATTGTATATATAAATATAAAGCAAATGCTACTAACTCAATTACTGACTGACTAAAGAAATCTAAAAAGCTACTAACAATGGGTTCAAACGAAGCGACATCGTAATTCACGTTTTTTGCAGTATACGTTCTTTCGAACATACTACCATACATTTTTCGTGCATACATTGTATATGAAATCATTCACTCGTTCTTTGTACGGTAATAAATCTACACCGTATAATATATACTTTTATATATATATATATATATATATATATATATATATAGACTTATCAAGTAAACTGAATGGAATTTTATATCTACTCGAAGTGATAGCTGTACGTAAACTGACATTGTTTTTCCGGCATAAAAATTATGCAAAAGCTACTAACATTTTTAATTAAAATTTAAGTGAAATAAAGCAATTTTAAATATGTGTGCTCAGTTTGGCTCCATTTGTAAAACGTATTGTCATTGGTAAAAAGTAACCTATGTCACTCTCCAGTCCTCCAACTATCTCCACACAAAAAATCACGTCAACCCGTCACTCCATTTCGACGTGAAAGAAGGACGGACAAACAAACAAACAAACAAACAAACAAACAAACAAACAAACAAACAAACACTTTCACTTTCACATTTATATATTAGTAAGTATGAATGGATTTTCATATTTGCAACTTACCATTCAGAAAGGGTTTTTCTCTATCAGCTTTGATGTCTTTTGTTTCTTGTGTCTTCGAAACCGGCTCTACGTAGCCTTTACAACTGTCCGACTCTAGCTGTAGAAGAAGAACACTCATTTTAATGTTATATTTTTGTTATACGTTATTAAGAAGTTGTAGCTCAGTGGTAACACACTCGCTTGAAAAGCCCAGTGAAGCGGGTTCAAATCTCGGGTTTCGCACCTCTGAGGTTTTTGGATTAAATTTCATTTATAACATTCCACGTGCTAATATTGTGAAGAAAAAGAATGTGAGTAAAACTGCATATCTGAGAGAGTCTAAATAGTTTATACTTTTTGTATATATTGTGTGAAGATTCGAAAAACTTGCTTGAGTCCTAAGAAAAAACAACAAGACTGCCTAAACACTTTGAAATCTATACAGATAAATAACATTGAAGTGTCCGTTTGTAATGTTAAAAATATAGCTTTTTATTAAATGCATATGAAATTATATACGGTACTTATAAGAAATACATAATTTTTAAATGTATCTATCTATCTGTCTGTCTATATGTTTCGGCTAATCTTAGAAACGACTGGACTGATTTTGACGGTACTTTCACTGGTAGATAGCTGTTTTTATATGGAGTAACTTAGGCTACTTTAATTTTTTTTTTAAATATTAAATCTTAACTAGGGACGCACCCAAGGGTATATATATAAGGGAGCGTATATACATATATATATATATATATATATATATATATATATATATATACCTAAGGGTACCCTCCCTTATATATATATATATATATATATATATATATATATATATATATATATATAAGGGAGGGTACGTCACTAGGAAAGCAATAAAATAGGTATATTTTCTAACATGATAACTAAGGGATTATACACCCGAGGGTGAGTCGCTAACTTAGTTATATAAAAGCGAGCAACAAAAACAACACGGGATCGGTTAAAATTAAACATATAATCGTGGAGCGGATAGCAAAATGAATGAACAAAAGTAAATTTATTTCTAGCATTCCTTAGTTTCAGATCGCATCAAAACGTGTCGAGGCACTGAGCGTGACGGACACGTAGACAAGCATATTCTATATATATATAGTTGTTGAGTGAAATATTTCTATTATATTTATAGTAAGACTAGCGACTCATCCTCGCTCCGCTCGGGTTTGTCTCTAGGTACGCTTTAAAGGTTGATATACTTAGATTTCCCAGAGATGATAGATTTTCCCGCAGTAGAAAGTATCTTAAATATTTACTCGGACCACCTAATTGTATAACCAGCTATCATCATACTAAATTTCATCAAAATCTAACCAGTGGCTTGGTCGTAATGCGTTCCCAGACAGACAGACAGATAGACATTTAAAAAAAAACTATAGATTCGGACTCTGTATCGATAATAATGACTTAAGATTCTAATTCTAAGAGACTAAAGATTTAAGTTAATTTTCCAAAAAATATTTAATGCACAGATTCGACTTAGAATTTTATTATATGTATAGATGTCAAATATTCGCGTAAATCTAAGAAAGTATTATAAAAAGTATAAACTTAATTTTCAAAAACCGACAAAGTTTATATAAGCAGGCAAGTAACTTCATCCAAGTTGCAGATTTATCTAAAATCCGATACAATTTGTCAGCCATGATAAATATAGCCCGCGTCTAACTAAAACGCGCATGTCGCGATGTTAAATTCTCATTAATACATGTCGCCGTTATTTATCTGCGAGCGAAATAGAATACGTAGAAGTTATATTATAAGTGGTGTGTGTTGTTTATGTCCTTTTATAATTTTACTAGCAGAACCCGCGGCTTCGCTCGCGATAAAACTACAAATAAAATCGCTAAAAAGGTAGGTTTGTTGTTGTGTTGGTTGAAAAATGCTAAAATACGTATTTATTTAATTGTATTTAAGAGTATTAATACCCAGTTTCAAGTAAGTCTGATCATATTTTTGGGTTATATTACAACATGTTCCCGTGGGAATGAGATTATATCTCGCGGTTAAAAATGTCTATGTCATTCTCCAGCCTTCCAACTATCTCCACACAAAAAATCAGGCCAATCCGTCACTCCGTTTCGACAAGAAAGTAAGATAAATTAACAAACAAACAAACACACTTTCACATTTATAATATTACTATGGATGTAGTGTTTGACGACACGTTTGGCTCAGTTTGTAGTGACTACTTGCTGTGCCAGCGGTCGCGGGTTTGAGTCCCGCTGGGGGCATCCATTTTTGTGATGAGCACGAATGCTTGCACTCCAGTCATGGGTGTTTATATTTATAATATGTATGTATTTAAAAAAAAGTTATACATATATGGTTAGTGTATAAACTATCCGGTATCCATAACACAAGCCTCGTAGCTTACCATGGAACTAGATGGTGCTGTGTGTTAACGTACCAACATATTTATTTATTTATTTATGGATGTCAAATATTCGCGTAAATCTAAGAAAGTATATATATTCGTTAAATATATTAATAGTGTTAAAGTTAAACTGTATCCGGAAAGTGAAAATATAAAATCGTGAAAGTTTCATTAAAACCAGTCAATTAATTCATTTCATTTACGCATGTAATTGATGAAACAGACTAATTGTTTGTCATTGTTTGTGTGAGCTTCTTAGAGGCTAATTAATATTGAAAATTGAGCTTTATATTATACTAGCCTTGTCCGCGGCTCCGCCCGCGTTCAGATGACCAAAAACCAAATTCTTAGCTTTACATAATATCTCTTACAATGCAGTTTTTGTATTTTATGTGATTTTTTGTGAGCAGTTTTTCTGTGATGGGGTAACAGACAGACATACAAAAATTCTAAAAACTATAGATTCGGCCTCTGTGTCGATAATAATGTCTATTGCAATAAGATTTTCCAAAAATTATTTAATGTACAGCTTCGGCTTAGTTACAATTTTATTATATGTATCGATATATAGTACCTGGGCCACCGAGCTTCGCTCGGAGTTTTTGGTCGAAAGTACAATTTTCTTTTAAAATTAAACTAAAAACTTGAATAAATACAAAAATAAATATATATATACCTTTATATCCGTCCGGGATTCGAACCTGGACACCTGTGATTGCTGATCTGATCTTGCACCTTGGCCGCTTGACCACCATACTTATGCCCGAGCGTGCAAATTACAGACCATATTTTGCGTGGAATAATGCAAAAGAAAACTGCATGAAAACTCGAAAACACGCGTTTTCTCAGACATAAGACTAATCTAGATCGATATATCGCCCCCGAAACCCACGTGTGCAAAATTTAAGAATTTAATTCAAGAATTGCTCGTTTAATGATATAAGATAGATAGATGTCAAATATTCTTGTATTTCTAAGAAAGTATTTAAAAAAAACATTTCACTTAGTTTCCCAAGCAAACGTGTTACTGGGCTACCACTTTGAATAATACAACAAAAGAATATAACAATTAACAGGTTTCATAAATATACATTTACCGCAGCCGCAGCTCGTAGTGCAGCTTGAAGCCTTTCAATGTGTTGTATGGCGGCTCTAAGAATCTCTAACTTTGGCAGTCTGCCGCTACCTGCGCGTGCGCGTATTCTAAGTTCCTCAAACGCTGCATTCACCTGCAACAATAGAATAACTTATCTTACTACTAATATATGCGAAAATGTGTATGTTTGTTTGTGAATTCTTTAGGTTGAAACGGCTGGACTGGTTTAGATGAGATTTAGTATTCTGATAGACTGTGACCTAGAGGCTGGAGTGACATATTGACACTTGGATTTTTTTTATTTGAGTAAGTCTCACGCTCACAGACATACATCCATGCCTTTTTTGAGGTGAGGAGGTACGATTTCAAAATTAAAAGATTTTGCGAACAAAAAAGAAAAGCTGAACAAAGCTATGGGGTCGGGTGGACTTTAAGAGTCCACCCAAATTTGCACTTTGATATTAGCCACCTAGAACTCGAGTGGGAAGTAGATAAGTTCCTAGTTAGCTATCAAATACACTATTTTCAAGTACCTAGTTATTTTAGTACAAGTAATGTTTTTGGAAATGGATATAGCACCACTCTCAACGATAGCCTCTTCTTTAAAAATAATATTGTTAAAGTAGTCAAAAGGCAAAGCAATAAATAATTAATTATACGTTGTTTTGAAATTATGTTATTTATCACCTCCAGGTAAATTTATAAGAAATTAATTAAATTTCTAAGAAATCTATTGTTAACTGACACGCCGGCGTGTCCGCGGTCGTGGAGGGACTAAAAAAAATCTAAAATACTGCTCTTTATGTTCTTTATGTCTTAAGAGATTTGAACCCGTACCAATTTATATCTAATAACATGAGCAAAGCGTGGATAAGATCTCTTGACCCTTAGTGGAAAATGTTTTTTTTTTTTGGAAATGAATATGGCACCACCAACCACCAAAAATCGTTAAGATTTGTTGTCAACAGGCAAAGCAAAAAAAAAATGAATTGGATATACGTTGTTTTGAAATACCATTAAAAATGTCGTTTTTATATGTTCTTCTCCTTTGAGATTTGAATCCAAGATCAATAATGTAATGTACCAATTAAATTTACTAAATCCACTACAAATTGACGATATTTTAATTTCTTAAATATTTAAATTTTAAAACAGATTGGATGATAACTCTTAATAAAGGGGTACAAGCATTTACAGATTTAGCCTGAAGTTATTAGTTCCGCTACGTTTGAGGCCGGTGGCACCATTCCGAGATCAAATAAAAATTGTTTTGACAACTATAAAACTGGACAGACGAATTATTATAATATTGCTAGTTGACAGACGACGGGTTTGCCTGAGTTTATATCTAATTACTATATAAAAAAATGGAATTTTCGCTTCGCTCGGATTCGCCTCTAAAAAAACAAAAACAAACCTATCCCACGGGACCCGTACAGTTTTCCATGACAAAAAGCCTATGTGTTATTCCAGATTATAATCTATCTCTGCGCCAAATTTCATCCAGATCCGTTCAGCCGTTCTGGCGTGAAAGAGTAACAAACATCCATACTCACAAACTTTTACATTTATAATATTAATGCGGATAATAACTTTGTAACAAGGTCAAAATTTTATATTAATTAGCTAAATATGTATATCGTTTGAAATTCTAAAATTATGTCTGAAAAATGTTTGAGATGAAATAGAAGTTGAAAAAGACTTGAAAAAGAGGGCTTAGAAGAAAAAAATCTCTACAATCGCTAATATAAAAGTTAACATGCCTGAAACACACAATGTATGACATATCCAAGCGTTAAAACTTGGTCAGATATGTCGTTGTCATATTATATTTTAAAGTTATCTATTAGTAATGGGAGAGAAAATAGCTATTAGCGATATCGAGTATAGAAATGAACTGGTCTAAGGAAGGATTTATTATTGTACTAGCATTGCCTGCGGCTCCGCCTGCGTTCAGATGACCAAAAACCAAATTCTTAGGTTTTACATATTAGTCTACTCTTACGTTGCATTTTTTGTATTATTTCTCAGAAATGAGGCATTTTCCCGCTGTAAAAATCATCCTATATGTTGACCCGGATAACCAGCTATCACCATATCAAATTTCATCAAAATCCCTCCAGTGGTTTTTCTGTGATGCGGTAACAGACAGACAGACAGACAAAAAATCTAAAAACTATTGATTCGGCCTCTGCAACGATAATAATATTTATTTCAATAAGATTTTCCAAAAAAATATTTAATGTACAGATTCGGCTTAATTACAATTTTATTATATGTATAGATAACTCATTTAATAGTTGTATAACATAGTGTAAGAAAGTATTTAACGTAGTAAAGAAAGTTGGTGTACAGCGGATTGATGGGGTGCCGAGGTACTGGATGGTACCTCCAATGTGCAACGTCCACGTTCAACAGTAGACGGTGAAAGGCAAATGATAAGTGATATATGGGATCCCATGGTTACATGGAGTTTAAGTATTGTTGTTTTAACTCAAGCTGTAATTGCGGTTATACTTAATTGTTTATTATATTTAACTTATCTGTTTCTAAAATATGAATTAAAATTTACTATTTTCAAATACATAGTATTAATATAAAGTATAATAAATAAATAAATATGTTGTGACATTAACACACAGCACCATCTAGTTCCATGGTACGCTACGAGGCTTGTGTTATGGATACCAGATAGTTGACACATTACACATAATGTGTATATAACTTTAAATATATACCTACATATTATAAATATAAACACCCATGACTGGAGTACAAACATTCGAGCTCATTACACAAATGAATGCCCCCAGCGGGACTCGAACCCGCGACCGATGGCACATCATGTAGAGTCACTACAAATTGAGTCCAAATTGTCGTTGAAAAGATATCCGATCCCAATTCAATCTACGTCCTAGCCAAATTTTATCAAAATCTATTCAGCGGCTTAAGCGTGAAAAGGTAACAGACAGAGTTACTTTCACGTTTGTAATATTATTATGGATTGCTTTGTTGTTGAGCGTAGCGGTAGGTATATTAGATAGTCTAATGCATCCAGCGGGACTCGAACCCGCGGCCGCTGGCACAGCAAGTACTCACAACAAACTGAGCCAAACGAAAATATTACTAACCTTTTGATGTCTTCAATGCTACATAAAACGATTGGAGAGTTAGAATGATAAATAACAACATTAAATCCAACAAAAAAAACTTGTAGAACAAATTATATTTAAAATATTTTTTGACCAGTTTCTATGTATCTTGTGACGTACAATCTTAATATATTATCTATACATATAATAAAATTGTTACTAAACCGAATCTGTACATTAAATAATTTTTGGAAAATCTTATTGAAATAGACATTATTATCGATACAGAGACCGAATCTATAGTTTTTAGAATTTTTGTCTGTCTGTCTGTTACCGTATCACAGAAAAACCACTGGAGGGTTTTTGATGAAATTTGGTATGGTGATAGCTGGTTTTTTTTTTCAATAATATAATTACCATATTTCCCAGAAGAGCTAGAAAGAGGTGTGCTGAGTGGGTCTCTTACAATTTTTTTCGAAAGAAAATCAGTAAGGGCCAGTTCCACCGTATTCTTTTAAATTATATCAAATTATAAAACATTTTAACGGTCTGTTTAGTGTACATCAATGTGTTATCGGGTTGTATTAATTAATCTTTAGTCAAACACTGCTAAACTGACCGATTTTGAGAATTTTGGATTAATTTTCTGTAAACGTTAACTGATGCTAGTGATGCTACTTTATGATAAATAAAAAATATTTTTTTTATTTTTTACTTTTACATAAATTAAAAAAAAAATCACAAAAATACAGAGATTGGCCAATGTGCAAAGGTGAATTCTTCTTACCAAGCTTTGAAAATGCAAATAGTGTGATTCATCAATGCGGCTTTAATAGTGATATTAATATGAGATTACAACTGTTGCCCATTTTTGATTTCCCGATTATTTGGGGTTGGCGGAATACATCTTCCGCACTGCTCATGGGTTTTGGCAAAAAATTACGACTCTTTGACCCTCTTCACGAATTTAACCCAAAAGTTGTATTTAAATTGAGTACATAAGTATTTATAAGTGATGAAAATAAAAGGACGAAATATCATCTCATTTATAAAGTCTGTTTTAAATTAATGGCACCATAGTATAAGAATGTAGGAAATACAATATATACTATGGTTAAGATGGAGTGAGTTTGAGTTTTGAGATATCCATGTTTTCTCTGACCTTACAATGGATCTTTTTTTCTTATAATTGCGTATATGTGTGTGTATATTTGTTACTTATTACGCTAAAACGGCTGTACAAATTTAGATAAAATTTAGGACACTGATAAACTATGACCTGGAGTAACATATAGGCTACGTTAGACATCTAGGGACGTACCCGGTAAGTCAGTCTAAACAAAAATAACGACATCGCATACGACAGATTTACGACCAACAATCATAATATTTAAAGACGTTTACAAAACGCTACAAGCGCTCTAAAATAAAAATAAATTGTTAGTGCGAGGGGCGAATAAATTTATTTTTATGGGAAATTAAGATGTCCGACCATATATCCTTGTGTATATTGGACGGGCTTCTGTGAGATGTCACTTTGTGTTTTATTTATTGGTTTGACTATCATATATTTTACTATAGTAGCAGTTTCCCCTGACTTTGTTCGTTGTATAAAGTATGCTGTGTGTGAATGCCTGGTTGGTTTAGTGGTCAGCATGTACGGTTATAGATCCGGAGCTCCTAAGTTCGAATCCCGAATCTGAATAAGTAGAGCTATTGGGTCTGTCTATTTAGAAATCTTCAGTAATTACCCGAAAAGGGGAAGTTTGTGATGTTTCAATTATGATATCATAGAAACTACTACTTGTACTGATATAAGTAATAGGTACCCATAGGTAAAGATTCTATAAAATAAAAAAGGTGTTCTTTAAGAGAGTTAATTTTGAATAATTCTGTCAAACGTGTCATTGCCTATTCATTGAGGAAAAAAATATAGACTATCTAACAAAATGCCACGACCGGCCAACATAGGAGTAGAGAAATTATTCAGAAATAAAATACGCTGCAGGTTTCCTCACGATGTTTTTCTTCACCGAAAGAC